CACACACACACACACACACACACACACACACACACACACGTGTTCCATTTCAGATTTTCAAATATGGAATCCCCATCCATCTGTGTGTGTTATAAAATTCATTAGAACATTTCTTACCTCTCTCTCTCTCTCCTAGGCTTTATTCTGTTGAGACACCCAGCTCAGAGCTAAGGTGAAGGGCAGGCTCAGATCTCTCTCTGAGCAAGTTCCTCATAGTCTCACTAACACCTCCAGGGATGCTGCCGTGGGACTACCTTCACCGGGGACCCAGAAGAAGCTTAGCCACTTGGGACAAATGGAGACCCTACCTGCCATTTGGATTGGGACTGAGAAGGGGGGGCAGGCAGATAGGAGGGTACAGAGGAGAATAGTGGAATTCTCCTCAAGCAACTTTATAGAGATTGTATTCTGCAATCAATTATTTATCAGTGAACTCTGAGAACCAACACTGTTTGTTTTCTGCTTGCCTGGAGGATAAGGACTTTGTCCTAAGAGTTGTCTATTTAAGAACTAGCTAGGGTTCCCTGGAAAATACTGAGCCCCTTCCTGGGCAGTGTTTTCTTATCTTACTACCCACACCTTGAACCCTGCACAGAGATGGGTCCCCTCTCCTCCCAAGCCTCCAAGCCAGTGCAGAAAAGCCAGCCAAGAAACTTCTGGAAAGATTGTTTTTCATCATTTATTAATGCTCCTTGGCCTTGTCCCCAAATAATTAGGGCTAGAAAATTTTTACAGCATACAGTTAATTACCATCTGGGCTGCTTAACAAACCAAGGCTCTGGATGGGATCTGGAAGCCCTCTGAGAAGCATGGGGACACATGTGAGTCATGGTGTTGGCTGTCACATCCCCATGGGGAGATAGGATCCTTCCGTGATGTGTGGGAGGTGCCAGCTCCCCATTAGAGTCAACCCTCTCATTCCCAGGAAAGCGCTAAGCACACCTTCTCCCTTGGGAGGAAGTAGGGCTCAGGTCCTGGCAGGAAGCCAGGCTCTCAACACAGAGACACCCACAGGACCTCAGGAACCTCTCCAAAGCTTGTAGATTTGGAACACGAAGCCTCGAATTCTAACCCTTTGGTCTTAGCTAGGGTTCTATTGGGCTTTGTTGAGGAGGGGTGCTGAGAGAAGCCGGAGAATCTGGGCGAAGATGCTGCTGCAGGAGAGGTCCAGACTCCACCATCTCCCAGAGGTGGTTCTGCTGTCCCATCAAGACCCTTACTGGGTTCGTGTGTAAACAGTAGGTATCAGGCCAGGTTGTTCACACAACAGCCACTATGAGAAGGTTCTGGGACGTTGGTAGACCACTCTGAGCAGCTTGGGGTGCTGTGTTTACCAGCGGCGAGAATGGACCACAAATACACAGCAAAATCCACTTTAAGAGTTTTATTGCTAGAGAGTGGGGAAAGGGAAAGGGGGAAGCGCACAGATCTGTCCAGAAGAAGCGTGGCAGAGAAGGGGAGTGGAAAGAGCAGAGTCTGTTTTTTAAAGGTAGCTCCACGCATGCGCATAGGGGCTTATGTAGCCACACCACGCATGTGTAAAGATTACATGGCCACTCTGCACAAGTAGGACGTAAGGCCCTGGGGTGACTAGGCATTTTGCCTGACTACTGACAGTGCATGTGTGGCCTGGGACCCCGGAAGCGGCCAGGAGGATGCTGGAAATGATAACACGCAGCTATGAAGACCTGGATGGGAGATAGCCAGCCGCTGGTGCCCCTTCGGGCTGACAGGAAGGCGAGCCTTGTGGCTGCTCACAGACTCCAGGCTCTTCCCTCCATCCTGGGTGGTGCAGGAGCGTGTGCAGTCCAGAGGATGTGGTGAGCATCTTTCAGCTGTCACCTCCGGTGGCACTGCACTTATCTCCACACATGGGAGGCATGCCCAGACATGACCTCATCTGTGAACCGAGCAGAAACCAGCTAGGCAGTGGGTTTACAAAGCGCCCTCCTCCAGCTGCTCTGCTGGCCTGGATCCTGCCCCTAGGCGGGTCTGCCTTCAGGGTGGTGCTCTTCCTAGGGATGACGTCGGAAGAAAAGGTGAGGTAGTCTGCCTGGTACCTGTTGTAAAATCAGGTACAGGTGTTTATCAGGTGGGGGCTCAGGCGTTTCTGGGGTCTGCAGAAGGGGCCTCTTCCTGTCCATGTTACTTTGGTGTCTCTGTGACAGAGTCCGGAAGCAGTTTTAAAGGAGGGAGGATTGATTGGAACTCGCGGATTGAGAGGTTTGGGCCAAGCTTGGCTGCCTCCATGCCTGCGGACCTGAGGTGAGGCGAGCATGATGGTGGGGACGCGTGGTAAGGCAAATCTGCTCCCGCATAGTGGACACGGGAAGAAAGGGCCCTTCTTCCTCCAGCAAGGCCTCCCCAAACGGCACCACCATCTGGGCCCAAGCGTTTCTCACATGACCTGCGGGGACACTTCACACGCAAAGACATAATCACACACCCCGTCCATTTGTGGCCAGGCTGAAGTGGGAAAGGGCTCAGCCCCCAGCCAGGGTGGTCTCCTCCCCTCCCTCCGGAAAAGGTCACAAGTGCAAAGGAGTCCCGCACCTGCCTAGCGACGAGCCTGCCCTGCCCTGCAGGCTTGCCCCCTCACCCGGCTCAGGAAAGAGCAGAGTTCCTGCCCAAAGCATCATGCTCAGTGAGACCAAGAGGTGCCCCTTAGAGAACAGAGTGGCTTGAGGTCTGTGGGGCATGGGGAGGGGACACCAGGGAACAAATGGCCCCTGGAGTCATGTGACAGGAAGTGCGTGTGGTGTTAACAGTGTCTGGCTGACCCGCCATCTGTCTGTCTGTCCGGACTCAATGGAGAGAGCAGCAGCCTGTGTGGCTTCAACCAGCTCATCTCTCCCTTGAGTGAGTCTTGTGCATGTCCTGGCAGTCGTCCTCTAGGAGGGGAAGGCCTTGGGTCCGTTCCTGAGACAGCCTGGCCTTGCACGATGCCGGGCTGGTTCTCGAGGGAAATTGAACTCCAGGAAGTGTGTGGATTCTGAAGCAATGAGTGCAGGTTGTGATGAGCCGAATCTCAGGGTTGTTTCTGGAGAAAAAGCTGTGCTGTTTAGATGGCGTATGTGGTGGTTTTAACAAGAATGGCCCCGTAGGCTCAGATATTTGAGAGAATGGTCATCATGGAGTCGCACTACTTGAGAAGGGTTGGAGGTGTGGCCTTGCGGGAGGAAGTTTGTCTCTGGTGTGCGATTTGAGGTTTCAAAAGTCAAGCCCAGTGTGGCTCTTTCTTCCTGCTGCCTGCAGATGCGGATGTAGAGCTCTCAGCTACTTCTGCTCCTTCCATGAGGATGGCGGACTAACGCTCTGAAACTGTAAGCCAGGCCCCGTTAAATGCTTTCTTTACAAGAGTTGCTGTGGTCATGGTGTCTCGTCACAGCAACAGAACACTGTCTAAGACAATATGTATGTTGTGTGTGTTTGCATGTGTCTCTGTGTGTGTATGTGCAACTGTATGTACACATGTGTGCATGTATGTCTGCATCTATGTGTAAGTTTGTGTGTATGTGTTTACATGTGTGTGTTTGTGTATAGGTGTGTGTATATGTAAGTGTGTGCTGGTGTATATGCATGTGTCTGTTTGTATGTACAAATGTTCGTGTGTACCTGTGTGTGAGTTCTTATGTACATTGGTGTGCATATATGCATATATGTGTGCGAATGAATTGTGTGGTGTGTATTTGTGTGACTTGCATCCATGCATGTTCATGTGTGTGTGCACAAATACATTCATGTGCATGCATGTTGGCATATCCCTTGCATGCATGTAAACATATGTACACATGTGTGTCATTTGTGTGAGCATGTGTCTGTGTACATGTGAATGCATGGGTGTGCTCATGTATGGGCATTTGTTCTTATGTATGTACATGTGTATCTGTGTACATATGTGCATATCTGTTGATGGCTAAATCCTCCCCCTTCTCCATTCCTGAACCCCAGAGCTCTGCCTGGAGCAGGGAGATGAACCCTGGCAAAGCCAGGAAATGTGTTACCTGGCTGCCTTGCCCTGGCAGCCAGGCGTATGGACTGGCCCTGCCTTGGCTGTGTCTGCAGCCTTCATTTCCTGTTCCTCAAGACTAAGGGTGCATGGAGAAGGGGGCCAGTGTCCCCAAAATGACCAGGGAGACTGCACAGGAGAAGGAGGCCTCACAGGAAGGAAAGGCTGGTGTGAGGACAGGCCGCCTGCTGGGAGGGTCTTCTAGAACTGTCATCGAGGCTCACACAAAGCAAACACCCACAGCATGCCAGGTGCCGTTCCTGGAGAGCGGCTCACTGCTCTTTAGCCCCACAGCAGCCCCACGGTGCAGGCGCTCACTCCACGCCTCAGCTGTGGGAGGTGGCTCTGGGGCCGGCGGAGAGGTTAAGTTGTGGACAGAGGGTCCCACAGCAAGGATTTAACCAGGCACCCCGGCTCTGGGCCCTTGTCATTCACTCTTGTTGTACAAGTCGCCACCCACTAGGGGCGTCTGTTCCACACACTGTCCTGAGCGTGGATTCCTTGTTACTAACCACACTGCTGAGATAGTGAAACGGAGACAAAGAAAGGTCACGTGACATCGCTCGGTCTCACGCAGAGCCATGGAGCCAGCCCGGACCTGGCAGACACCGGCCTTGGATGTTAGTTCTTAGAATGACATCCCCCAGGCACTGGGGTTCTCACAGGCATCTACGGTCTAGGATGCAGCAGACGCAGGAGATGCACACACCCGGGGGTACTGCAGAGACTGCTCTGGATCAGGCCCTGGCTGGGGCAGGGCAGGGGGCAGGGCTGCCCCTTCCGTGGCTCCTGTGGCCTAGTTTCTAGGCGACTGCCAGGTAGTGAGGCCTGGCAGGCAAGTTATAAATATCCCTCAGCGACAGGCAGGCCTTCGCTCTGACGCTGGTGTGGATTAAGCTGGATGCACAGCCTCAAGGTCACGGACACGGCTGTGGATTCCACTGCCCTAGAAGGTGCCCAGTGGAGACGGGAACAGCACAGGGCTGCTGCCATCCCAACCCAAAGTCCAGCCCAGCTCAGGGGGTAGCTTTGCCTTTGGCGGAGGCCAAGTGCCCGCTCCTGTCCTTATCTACTTCCCAGCCTGTCTGTCTCCCCCCCCCAGCTGCTGTAAGCAGATTTTCTCCGTGGGTCTGGGCCCGGGACCTCCATGGCTGTATGTCTCTGGTCTGTCCTCGGTCTGGCTGCCTTCTGTGTGGGCTTCGCCTCCTCCCCAGCACCCACCTCCACCCTCTGTGAAGAGCCTCCTTCTCTGTGTAAGTGTGTGTGTGTGTGTGTGTGTGTGTGTGTGTGTGTGTGTGTACACGCGCTTGCACACAAATGCATGCATGCAGCATGTTCATTTTGTGTACAAGACATTTGGAAACCTCAGCACTCAGTCTGAGAATGTGGCTCTGTTGTCAGAGTGTCTGCCTAGCATACATGAGGCCCGGGATTCAGTCCCCAGCGCTGTGAGAACCACATGGCCAGGCATACCTGTAAGTCTTAAGAGGTGGAGGCAGGAGGATCAGAAATTGAAGGTCATCCTCGGTTACATAACTGGTTCAAAGCCAGTCTGTGCTCTTCGAGACCGTGCCTGAGAACAAGGTTCTGTGGGATCACCCCCACATCAGCTAAAGCCTTTTCAAGTCAGCAGCAGCCCAGGCCGAGCCTCTCCGGGTACAGCCTTTTGTCTTCAGAGCAGGTTCTCGTCAAGGAGCTTTGGAAACTGGGCAGAGCTGCCTTTGGGCTGGGAAGACCTCCGCGAAGTGAGCAGTTAAGGGAACAATGCTGAGGGCAGACACATTCTCTCAGTCTGGCTGAAGGCAGGTGGTCATGGGGCCAGGGCAGCAGAGGCAGTGGCCATGCGCAGTACTTGGAGGCCCAGTGGACTTGCCCTGGGCTGAGAGCACAGGCTTGGTGGGCTGAGCTGGCTGTGGCTGTGCCTTGCGTTGTCTACCAGCCATGAGTACCGGCTTCCACACCCTCTGTGTACACACCCAGTCACACGAGCTTGACGGAGAAATGAGCACTTCCCAGGGTCCACTGCTGCTTAGATTTCTGGCTGTGATTGGCTTTGCCCACCAGAGGCATTCCGGGGAGCCCGGGAAGATGGTGGGGGAGCTATTCCTTTATGAAGGAATCATATGGTGGAAAGGTTTCAGCTGGGGTGACAATTTGCAGCAACTGGGATACCCATGGCCTTGCCACCCACATACTGGAGCATGGCAGCTGGGGCGGTACAAGGAGAAT